ATTTGGAGATAGGTCATTAAAGAGGTAATTAAGGTAAAGTGAGGTCATTAGGGTGATCCTTAATCTAATCTGACTGATGTTCTTATAAGAAGATGAGGTTAGGACACAGGTGCGCACAGAGGAATGACCAGGTGAGGACACAGTGAGAAGACAGTCATCTACAAGCCAGAGCTGGAGTCCTCAGAAGGAACCAATGCCATGACCTTATATTTCCAGCTTCTGAAATGGTGGAGAAACAAATTTCTGTTGTGTAAGTCACCCAGTCTATGGTACCTTGTTGTGACAGGCCTAGCAAACTAATACAATATATATCTAAGAGATTTTTTTAATTGATGTCATAATAGTTTATGATATTGTGAAAGTTCAGTCGTATATTATTATTTGTCAGTCACCATATACATGTACCCCTTTACCCCTTATGCCCACCCTCCAACCACCTTCTCCTCTGGTAACCACTAATCTGTTCTCTTTATCCATGTATTTGTTTATCTTTCATATATGCATGAAATCATAAGGTATTTGTTTTTCTCTGGCTTATCTCACTTAAAATAGTACCCTCAAGTTCCATCCATGTTGTTGCAGATGGGGAAAATTTGTCTTTGTTATGGCTGAGTAGTATTCCATTGTATATATGTACCACAGCTTCTATATCCATTCATCAGTCAATGGGCACTCAGGTTGCTTCCACATCATGGCTATTGTGAATAATATTGCAATGAACATAGGGGTGCATAAGTCTCTTTGAATTGTTGATTTCAATTTCTTTGGACAAATACTCAGTAGTAGAATAGCTGGGTTGTATGGTGTGGTATCTGTTATAATCTGTTAAACTTCTTTCATTCCTAATTTTATTTATTTGAGCCTTCTCTCTTTTTTTCTTAGTGAGCCAGCTAAGGGTTTATCAATTTTGCTTATCTTCTCAAAGAACAAAATGAGATTGGGTTCAATTTCAATTAAAATGAAACTGGATTCAATTTCATTTATTACTGCTCTAATTTTTGTTATTTCCCCCCTTCTGCTGACTTTGGGTTTGTTTGGTTTTTTCTAGTTCTGTTATGCTCAAAGATTGCTTATTTGAGACTTTTCACCTACCTCCACGACCTCCCTGAGGGTAGTCCATCTACCTTCAGATGTATAGCTGTGTGGGTCTCTCATATGTCCTGTTGTGCTATGTGGGTGTCCTCCACTGACCAATGAATGTCCATTTAGTTGTAGTTTGAAGAGAGCAAGACAAAGGGAACAACTCACTCCCCCATGTTGCTGACGTCACCCTCCCTAAGAGATTTTTAAGGATCAAGATAACATGTACAAAATGTCAGTATCATTCCTGTCGCACAAACCAGTTAAATAATATCAATATTCTACTATTCAGGCATTTCAAGACAGTGCAATATGGTGGTCCTGTCCCTGAAATGCTGGTTTGGCTACTTGCTCACTGAGTAACCATGGGTTTCATATTTAAATTCTCTAAATATCCATTTCTTTTTGTAAAATTATGGAAATAGCAGTGTCTGTCTCACTGAGTCGCTGGGGATTGGATGTACAGCTTTTAGTACAATAACAGGTAGCCACTGTTTTTGTTATTATTATCAGGGGAAGGGAAGCATTGAATTTCTCCCTTTGCCAAGTACTAGGATATCAATTGAATATGTATTGAGTAAGGAATCGGAAAAGAATGCAGAGGGCACACTTCTGCTACACTCCTGTCCCTAATGGATTCACCATAACTCTTCTCTGAGTTATTTTCCCTGAAGTCTATAGTTATTAAAAACCATAATGTTTATATGCTGCTTTCCAGAAATTTATCTATAAATTCTTTCTTTTTTGATCTGCACAACTGTGGGAGTACCATGTCCCACATTTGCCAGTTGTGAGCCTTTTCTCTGACCAATGAGTTTTAGATGATAGTGCTGATAACACACAGGAGAATTTAGTTCTGTCTCTCACTGGAGATGAGTCTCTACATAGCTATAGTCATATTCACACACCTTTAACTCTAAAGAGAAACTTGAGAATAGTGTTTGTTCTCTGGAGGGACACTAACTTTAAAATATGGAAAAAGGCAGTCCTTTGCTCTCTCTCTTTTACAATTTTATTGTGATGATAACGCTTAACAAGAGATCTACCCTTTTCACAGATTTTTAAGTGTACAATACAGTAGGTTATATATAGGCACAATGTTGTACAGCAGATCTCTAGAACTTTTTCATCGTGCATAACAGAAATTTTATACAAGTTGAACAGCAACCCCAAGTTTCCCCCTTCCCCTAGCCCGTGGAAATCACCATTCTATTCTCTGCTTCTGTGAGTTTGACTATTTTAGATTCCTCATGTAAGTGGAATCATGCAGTATTCATACTTCTGTGACTGGCTTACTTCACTCAGTTTAAAGTCCTCCGGGCTCATCTGCGTTCATGTGGTCGTGTTTGGCAGGAAATTCTGCTCTTTCTCTTTTAAAAGCCAAGTCAAGTAGTATACAGAAAAGTTGGCTTCCTGGGACCTGATGCCAGAAAATCCCACGGAAACGTTCTGAATGGCACAACTTCACCTAGCCCCCAACTGGTAATTCTCAAACTTTTCCACCCAATGACTATTGAAGACAGAGTTGATGAATCATGAGTGGGTGGGGCCTGGGGACTACAGGCAAGCACCCACGTGTTCTGATAATCTGATGCCAGTAGGAGACTCCTTTAAAGTATCAGGTATAATCTGGCAAATGTGTGTGAACTTTGCATTATATCCATATTCATTTTAGATGTAAAATAGTATTTAAGGTCTTTATTGAGAAGTAAAATGGAAGCACCCACAGGGGGTTCCTGTCATTCCCAGCCACACACAGCTGAACACTGCTGGGGTACCACCAAACTCAGTTAGACCAAGGGCCCTGGAAACAGTAATGAAGAGTCAGGTCCAGGTTCCCTTCACTTCTCCTTTTTCCTTTGCTGTTGTCCCTGTCCTTGGATACCAGTCCTGGTGGTGTTCCTGGCCTCTGTGGGTTAGTGGTGGATCCTTTCAGTGAGGTTGACAGATGGTGATTTAAATGGGTTAAAATTTAACCCACCTCAGGGGTTTTAATTAAAGAGGAAACTCTGGAGGAGAGAACAATTATGAGATGCTCAGGAATGAGACTGAAATTGTGAGAGGATATTTTGTGGCAGGGACCACTAATCTCAGCTGTCACCGAGGTCTTCCTGGGGCCACTGTGGTCCAGACCCGCGCAGAGAAACTGGCCACTCAGCTGGCTGCCCAGGCCTCCTTTCTGCATCTTTGCTGCTGGGGCCTTGATGGTTTGCTTAGGGACTTTACACTGCCGGGACTACATCTTTCACTTATGAGCCTGTGACTGTGTGGAGCGTCCCCTGAGGGTTTGCTTGGCCTGGCACACTCCCTTCAGTTAACACTGATAATAACTTATGTTCTAGACATTCCAGTAGATGAGCCATAATAATGAGTCAGACTTGGATCCACACCACTGCTGTTCCCACCCTGTAAACTTCCTGTCCTGCAGGGAAGTCTAAACAAAAACACAAACCAATCCCTTACTGTGTGACAAAAATTTTACATGGGGTTTTCCTGCTTTGCGCACTTGGCCAAACCATGCAAGCTCCAAGCTGCCTATCCTGACCCCTTGAAATGTGCACCAAGAAAATAGTTAGACCACAGTTAAGGTGAGGTTGTGGGATAGGCGACCAGGCAACTCCGCCATGATCTGGACTCATCTGTCAACTCTAAAGAAGGACAAAATGCCTTGGATTTTGCTAGTGTTTGTTTTGTAAAAAAGACTGGGGGTGGGGGACACTGGGAAGGAACTGAAAGAGGAGAAGTCTACTATTAAAGACCTTTTAAATGGAAACATATCTACTTTGCCTTTTTTTTTCTTTTGGTGAAGAAGAGTGTCCGTGAGCTAACATCTGTCTTGTATGTGGGATACTGCCACAGCATGGCTTGATAAGCAGTGTGTAGGTCTGCAACCGGAATATGAACTGTGAACTCCAGGCAGCCCAACTGGAACACAGAACTACCACTACGCCGTTGGGCCAGTCCCCCAAAGGACTTTCTTATTGAGAGTATTTATTAGTGCTGTGTGTAGGGGTGGCTATGATCTCTCAGGCCAGTGAATGCCTGTGGCCTGAAGCCCTTTGCGTAGAGGTAGAGGTTCAAGACTAAGAGGAGTTAAGAGAAGTATTAACAGAGGGCACTTCACACACAGAAAGACAGCAGGAGACCTCTGGGCACTGAGTTAACCCATGTTTCTGGAAGCCCACAAGATACTGCTACCTGAAAACTAGTGGCTAATCAAGCTCTACTTGGAGCTAATCAGCTGTACCCACACTGCATTTCTTCTCTACCAGCCAACTTGTGTCTGCCAACGGGTAGGGGCTAGGCAGGTGTAGTAACGCCCAGGGTCAGCACAAAGTAGCAAGGACATCAGGCAGCGAGAGCAGGCAGGCTATCTGTGTCCTGCTTTCTCCCTGAACTCAGGACTCAGCAGGGAGCCTTGCATTCCTATAAAGTTAACTTACAGGCTTTTTTTCTTTTAACCAACAGACACCCTTGAGGTCCTGTTTAATCTTCAAAGAGAAACAGGAAACTCTTTGAGTTAAAAGATGGAACAAATAAGTTTTCTGAATTTTAAAGAAAATAAAGACCAAGATTTCCACATCTAGCATTCTGCAAGACACACAGGGGACAAAGAAAAGAAGCCATTCTTTGGTGCCCACAGGCCACCTTCCTTATCAAACGCACTGGGCACTTGGCAGAAGGAAAAACAACAAAAAGACCATCTCTCCTGTGGCTCCGTAGTGCTGCTTTCCACCCGAACGTGACCTGCCAGCAAGCACTGCTGCGAGGCGCAGGTACAGTCACTCTGCGAGGGCGGGGACAAATTCTCCAGGCTGTGGCCGCGCACTCCGCCCCCCATCCCCGCCTGAGTCCCTGCACCTGGCAGCTCCTCCCCAGCCCAGCTGAGCCAACGCCTGAGCATGCGCTGTGTGCTTTGGAAGAGAGGCCGGCGGGTGTGAGCCGCGTGTGTCACTGCAGTCCTCTTCCTGCACCACGCTGCCGGTTGCTGATTGCTAAGCAGTTAGCATTATTTCTGTGGCAATTGCAGAGGCTGTTGTTAATTGGAGAAGCCCCACTAAGCCAAAGCATCTTCCCTCTTCGGATGTGCTCTCTGCTCTTTGCCTTTAAAAAGAGATCTAGGCTGGTCTCCCCACTTTCCCTCTCCTATCCTCCCCAAAACAGCCTTGCGATTTTGGAAGTATGGACTCAATGACAGTCTTCCCAGCCGATTGGATTCTGGTGGCTCCAAACTCACCTTCAAATCGCACCTGCCCCTGTACAGGTGGGCATTCTGGACAGGAGGTCATGACTAAAGCCAAGGAACCAAATGCTCCAGGGAAATCCGGGCAGTAGCAGGAACAGGTAATGCTGTTTTTTGGAGTGTGCCTGTGTGCGTGTGTGTGTGTGTGTGTGTGTGTGTGTGTGTGTGTGTGAGTGTGAGAGAGAGAGAGAGAGAGGGAGAGGAAATAGGTGTTTCTTGAATGATTTTGTATTTGTGATGCCTGTAGCCACCTGAACCACAAAGCTGGGAGGTGAAATAAAGTGCTGAGTGAGTGCGGCTGGGGTCTGCCTTTCTCTTCTCCCCCTACTTCTATTTTTAAAAGATCCCTTGGTTTATCAATAATGAATAGACATAGGGAGCGTTTGGTGAAGTAAACTTGATACGAAGGAATCTGGACAAAAGCCTCTTTCATCAGAGCTATGTACTTTACTATATGTCAGTTGTGAAGGTTTCCAACTACTATGTAATTTTTTGAGGAGGGTGGAGAAGGTGGGTAGGGCTCCCCTCAAAATCCAGCTTTTTCTGATCCTCCAACAGGGATTTTCTTTGGTTCTAACAAGTCGAAAGAAGATGTATAAGCTATGTTTAAAGGACTTTTCTGTTGATACCTATGTCCCTTTTCCTCCTTTTTTCCTTAAGTATTTCTGAAGGTATTAGCAGATTGCTACTGCTCATCCTGGGCAGATAGAGACTGCGGTTTCTCCCTGCTAGAAAAGATGAAGGATGCAGAGTTGAGACCATGTGGGACTGCCAGCTAAGAAGTAGCAGGTCTTACAGAACTGCCTGGCTGAGGATGGCGGGGGCATTGATGTCCCATATGGCAGTGGGCAGCCGCTGACCCTGCCCTGAAGAGGCACACCATTTTCAGAGGCTCTGAGTCTCAAGGGGAGTAAAAGGAATAAGCAAGCTGTGTTTTACTACTTGTGTAGATATTGTAATTCCCTTCTCAGAAGATCTTGATGGTTCTTATCTTTTAATCACTGCTTAGTTTTCCTCAGGCAGATCATTAAGAGAGATCCTGGGAGACACCAGTAGATTTGCAAAGCAGTTTGCTCAAGCTTGGTAAATTAACAGCATAAGCTGATTTTCCTGGTTTATTTTAGAACTGTTGTTAGCTCTCACTTTCTAGGATTTGGTCCAAGACAGAAGACCCTTCTAGGGTTCAGGAAAGGAAAGCATCTCTTTGGGGGCATTGTGTGACAATCCCATCATCCACTATTCAGAGACCATATGAAGACAACTTTGGATCTGTATTTAGTGACAATTGCATTTTTTTGGTCATTTCCTCAAAGCCCATTTTTTAATTTAGAAAAAGAGACCATCTTATCATCATCATCATCATCATCATCATCATCATCATCATCACCAGAACTTAAATACAGTTTTATTTCTTGTGGGAAGAAGATTTTGTAAATACAGAAATTTAAGACTTCTTATATTCAGTGGGCAAGCTCCTGTGAGGGTCAATGCTCAGTGTTACATGAACACTGAGAGGTTCACAAGAGGCAAACCAAACCCTCTTCCTTTTAAAAAATTCTGCCAAATATTTGTTCAACAGAGAAATATGTCCTCTACATTAGCATCCTGTGGCTAACTGGGCTTCCTTTTGTTACAGTTCTCTTCCCTCACTATAAAATAAATGTGCCCTGGCTTGCAGGCTCCAAGGACTCAGGCAGCATTTCTGACCATGGGGCAGAGGTAATAATTAGGAAAGAACATATTGCTATTGATAGGTGTAAACTCAAGGGCAGGCACTCAAAAGTCCAATCTATGTTATGTAAAAGAAGGCCCATGGCTCCTGTTCAATTTTGCTCTCATTTTGCCTGATACTTGCATGTGCCAAAAGTGTGGAAATAGTTAATAAGGGGGTGAGTTTTAAAGGATGTATGAGCTTTTGTTTGATTTTATATCTTTTGATCATTGGAAATCCTCGTACTTGAACCTGTTTCAATTGTGGAAGACTTCAACTGGTAAAACACTGAAGACCAGAGCTAGCTGTGGCAGAGGGAGCAGGTGGGACATCCAGAAACAGTTGGGAAAGCCCTTTTCATCCATTCTCAGAATGGCAACTTTTTGACCCTGAAAAATGCACAGAGCCCACCTTGAAGTCAAATACAGGAAGGGTCAACAGCAGGGCTAGAGCAGGAGAAGCAAAACGAGATGGAGGACAAAGATCTCACATCTAAAGTAAATGTCTCTTTAATTACCACACACAAAAAAAATGAAATAGATATCCTTTTAGGGGACATTGGCTAAAATATTAAACTGTTCAAAACACAAAGAGATAAATAAAATTCTTCATAAAGACTGTTTCTCTTTCTCTATTATTATTATTTATCAATTTTTAAAAGGCAGTTAAACTATTTTTCTATGTGCTTAAACTGCAGAGCTCTTAATGAGCTATCCAATCCTTTATTTCATTTTTCTTGTTGCTAATGAAATTTTGGGGATAACCCCATACCCAGGCTGATAGGAATTTATAGGAAGACCAAGACAGGGGAATATGTTCATTGTTTTTGTTTTGTTTTGTTTTGTTTTAGTAGAGAGAGAGAGAAAAAGACAGATGCTCGTTTATGGTTTGGGTTGGTTTTTAAGTTGGGATCATTTACTTGTACTAATTTCATGACTACGTCCAAATCACCAAGACTTATTTCTTAATAGAAACTCTATGGCACTGGCACCTTACATCCTATATTGTGAGGCATTAATCTTAGGATTTGGATTTAATGTAGCCTGATGTTTATATCCAACACTCTTAAAAATTTTTGGTTATTGCCATGGACTACCACTTACTTCTTAGCAAGCTAACAGAGGCATGGTACAGGGTTTTATCTGCCGTGGTAGTTGGGAGCCAGGCATGTGGGTAGCAGCTGGAAATAACTTTTGTATGCCGAGGATTGCTGCAAATTAATGAAAAAAATTTAGGAAAAGATATAAAATCAAATAATTTTACCTATTAATTAGAGATTGCTGTTTTTTTCCCAACTTGCTTGCTAAAATATATACTAAAAGTAGATGACTATATGGAAAGAGTTTTTTGGGGTTTTTTTTAACATGCTTTGTGAACACATTGGAATAAACTACTATCTACAGGTAGTTGCCAATCTTCTGGGATCCAAGTCACATGATATATTAAAAGCACTCAATGAGAAAGTATCACTTAATAGACTGAATGAAAGCCCAGACAATCCCAGATTGGCTATATGCACAGCCCAAATTCAAAACAATGCAAAACAGCTGACTTTTCTTTCTGAAAAATGCTTTCTCTGTGCATCAAACAGGTTTTATTGTATTATACTGACATTACATTGAACTTAATCCTGGTCATCATTATCAATACTAGAGTTACCACAGAAAGCTTAGCTAAGAACTTCAAATGCTCAACAGAGGAAACATGGGGAAGTTTGAGGGTTAGAGAATGCCGTCCTTTAACCTTCATCAAAACATCACCAGCTCCAGTGTGCTTGTGGAAAATGTTAATATGTTAATCACTTACAGTAATGACCAGTGGCCATGTTTCTACCTCATTTGGAATTGTAGCATTATTATCTTTTATGAAAATGAGCCATGCCTATGTTTGGTATTAACTGATTTGGTTTTGCAATGGACATCTTTCACCGTGTCTCATTGAGAAAGAGGGGGCAGAAGGAATCTGTTGATGTAGACTTCCAAAAATTGAGGGAAATAATATAATTTGAGGAAGAAGCAATTCTCAATAAGCTTTTAGAGATCAATGGTTGTTTGAAGTCCTTGTTTTAAAAATGTCGAACAAGTGAAGGTTGTGTATTCTCATTTCAGACATCCTTTGGAAATCCAAAATGAACTAAAATATTTTTATTTCAAGTTTTGGGTTTGGTTACCTTATGGTCTTAAAGCAGGGGAATAGGTAGTCATGTGAATTGGGGAGAATTTCAGCCTAAATGCAGTTTGTTGTAATTCTTCATGAGGCCGACATTCTCAGGTCTCTCCTGACTTCAGTAGCCTATGTTCCTTGATGTGAGGAAATAAATGAAAGAGGGAATGAAGAGGATTCAAGAAAAATACCCCAGGTAAAGTGATCAAATCTGGAAAGTTTATTCTGGTCCTCCTTCTCCCTCCATTTGTTATTTACTTTTCAGGACTATTTATTGCTATGTCCCACGTAGGCCTTTAATTTTTTTTTTATGAGCAATATTTGCTCATAGTTAACTCTTTCTATCAAAATATTCACATGTGCTATTCAACCTAGGCCTTGCTAAATGACCTAGACAAATCCAATCTCTAAAAAACATGTGTAAGGTTGGTGTAATGCATTACTCTCCTTGAGGGCATTCATAATTTTAACAATAGCTGTTGGTGATGAAACTCAATGGAATTATTAATCATTGAAATTTTGGGTACAAAGTTATGGCAGAGATGATGGAACAAAAATATGATATTTGGTCACAATCATTAATGAAAAATTAATGAGAGGTCACAGTGAAGACAATCGTGGTACCCTTAAGTCACTGAAAGATTATGTACATCTTATAAGGTCCTGTTAATTTTGCATTTATATTAGAGCTGTCTTGTATCAGGCAAGTACCAAATAGCAGATATTGTTGCTGCTTTCAGTTTCCAATTCCAGGAGGATTTTATGGTAATGGAGTTGAAATTTGCTGCAATCCCTTCTTCAGAAAAATTTCTATGAGCACACACATGGAGTCGGTGCTGTGGGCCTTCTTCAATAGTGGTGTCTGTCTATGTTTAGCAGTGGTGGCTAGGATGCCGTAGGAGCCAGAATGCAGTCCTCCCTTAACAGCTTTACAAAACATATTAGTGATGTAATAAAGTCTTGATAATAGAATTTTCCATGACAATTTCTATATTATTCCCTTACTAGTATCTGATCAAGTTTTAAAGAGACTTAACTCCTCCTGCAAGAGCTCAAGAAAAACTGCTTTCCCCTATCTGAAACTTCATGAGACTCTGAGCATCATCGCAGGCTCCTGAGTTTTTAATTTGGAATGCAGCTTCTGAAAAATGTCTGTGTGAGCAACTGTGTGTGTGGAGATGGGATGTGGACCAAGAGGCACAAGCACAATCTGCTGATTAAAATAGG